AACGGGCAAAGAGCACACTCTTGGAATGGTTTGGAGTTATGCTCGTAGTAAACGTAAAACTTAATTTCAAGAGCCATTTGTTGATTTACTGGCTCGTATTCTGCTATTACTTAGTGGTTTTGTTTTAATATGTCCTGACCGAACAGGAATGGAATATTTAATTAAATTTCATACCAAAAGGGGTGCGTCCATACACTGAAATACTTCCAAGTTAATTTGGAATATTTTCAGAAATGTGTGGTAATAAAATCAAAAGCAACCATGAATAGATTTTCGTAATTAGCCAAATATGTGAATATTTGCCCCCATTTTTATAATTGGCTAAGGCGTATACACAGCAAAATTTTAATACACAAAATTAAATAATAAACACGAACAGCTAAAAATTATAATGTTTTTGTAGATTTAATTTAAAGAAAATATTAGTTTTGTAAATATATAAGCCACATTTCTGGACAGAGTCTCGACATTTTGCATAAAGTCTAGTTTATGTTTGGAAATGTGCCAATTATGGATGCAAAGGGCCAAAACCGTTATTGCAGCCTCCATAGAATTTAGTAAGAATTTAGGAAGTTTTCGTTTTGCACAAATGAAACTTTATAGAAAAGAGGAACTTATTTTTCCACCTATTATATGTGTATATTCCGGTTGTAACCCTAAATAAGTGCAAACTTCTATAAATTAACAAAGAGTAAAGGAGCGGATGGTAGGTCTTTGAATAAGATTTCGAGGTGTTACATATAGGTTTGAGCCTTTACCTGTGAAGTGCAGTTCATAAGAAGACGCTATAAATATAAATATATATATATATATATATATATATATATATATATATATATATATATATATATATATATATATATATACGACCGGGCCGATTTTATGATACCCTACACCACTTTGCTAATTTAGTTGAGCTCCACTTAATAATTAAAAGTTTTTATGGGAGAATTCAATCATAACCGCTATGATTATAATTATAATTTAAAATTCAAAGGACTAAATATGCCGAAGCATTTGTATCTTTTAAATTCGGACTTGTGTTGCCCATTTGGTGCGAAATTAATTTGAAATCGGATAAAAATATATATGGGAACTATATCCAAATCTGAACCGACCTCGATAAAATTTGGCAAAGATATTTCTGAGCTCTATTTGATATATTTCCCTGAATATCGTTGTTACGGAGCGCATATTACGGCTGTGGGTAACAAATACAATAAATCGGATGAACAATATATATGGGAGCTATAACTATATCTGAACCGATCTTCACCAAATTTGGCATACTACCTTCTAGACTAAATTCGGTCGTATGTGCCAAATTTCATCCCATTTGGACAAATATTAGACGTTTGGTGCACAATAAATGGTAAATCGGACGAAGTTATATGTGGGAGCTATATCCAAATCTGAACCGATCTCGATAAAAATTAGCAAAGGTATTTCTGAGCTGCATTTGATATATTTCCCCAAATATTTTTGTTGCAGAGTGCATATTACGGCTGCGGAGGACAAAAATAACAAATCGGATGAACAATATATATGGGAGCTATAGCTATATCTGAACCGATTTCGATAAAATTAGGCATACTTATTTTCAGGCCTAATTTGGTTGTATGTGCAAAATTACATACTATTCGTTTGGTGCACAATAAAAGGCAAATCGGACGTGGGAGCTATATCTAAATTTTTAACGATTATCTCCAATTTCAATTGGGTTCGTCCTTGGGCCAAACAAATGTTGTTTTCAAAATTTCATCTCAATCGGATAATAAATGCGACCTGCATTTTGTTCACAAGAATACATGGACAGACGGACGGACGGACAGACGGACTGACATGCATAAATCAACTCAGAAGGTGATTCTATGCAGATCATCAAAAGGAACTATGGGTCTATCTCGTTTCCTTTTGACTGTTACAAACAAATGCACAAAGACATAATACCCTGACCACCTTGTGGTGTAGGGTATAAAAAGGAAAAATGCAAAAATAAAACAAGCAAAGAAAGTCTGAAAGTATATTTAAAGAGCTTCACTTAACAAATAAAATTAGTTATTGGGAATTTGTGAGAATTAAATTATACAAACTATGATTATAGTTATAATTTAAAGTCTAAAGAACCAAATTTATCAAGGCATTTGTGTCTTGTCAATTCGGGTTTGGTGCACAATTAACTTGAAATCAGAAAAAGATATATATGGGAGCTATATCCAAATTTGAACCGATCTCGATAAAATTTAGCAAATGCATTTCTGAGCTGTATTTGATATAATTCCCTAAAATTTCGTTGTTACAGCGTGCATATTGCGGATGCGGAGGACAAAAATAAAAAATCGGATGAACAGTATATGTAGGAGCTATATCTAAATTTTTACCGATTATTTCCAATTGCAATAGGGTCAAACCAATGATTTTTGCAAAATTTCACCTTGATCGGGCAATAAATGTGACCTGTACTTTGATTACAAAAAGACATGGATAGACGGACGGACATGCGTAAATCAGAATGTGATTCTATGCAGATCATCAAAAGGAACTATGGGTCTATATCGATTCATTTTCCCTGTTACTAACAAATGCACAAAGACAAAATACCCTGATCACCTTGTGGTGTAGGGTATGAAAACATGGTTTTTAATGACCTAAAGCCAAACAATCAACCAAATAAGTTAAATATGTTTCCAAATTTCAAATTTCATTGTCTAATACACGATTGTCGGGGCTTATAAATAACGTGTTAGTTACCGAGTTATTTCCTCAATCCTCATAGATATGAAACTAATATATTTCAGAAAATTACGTGATCTATCTATCTATCTCGTTCTATTTCATTTATGATGTTCATGTATTCGTATTTCAGCATTAAGAAATATTCGCGTTAGAATCGAATTTTCGGTGTTTTTCACTTAAGATGTATGGTTTATATTACACACTAAATATTATAAGCTGAAGGAAGGCTTAAATTGAAAGACTTGCGTCGATTGGTTCATTATTGTCATAATTGAAATCAAGAAAAAGTTTGGTTTCTCGTCCATCTCATCTCCTGACTATTTTGCGATTATTTCCAAAATCTTTCGTAAGGATCGGGCCATAATAGCGTCCTGCAGTTAAATTAGAAATTTACGTGGATAGATCGACTTAGCTCGTCGAGTCGTTACAAACGAAATAACAACCTCTTATACCCTTCATAGTATGGTGGAGGCCACAAAGTTAAAATATAATTTAATACTGATTTTGCCAAGAATATGTGATCATCCCAGACGTAATACATTTTTTTAGTCCAAATCTTAAAGCACTACATTGGGATGTCGTTAAATCGATGACTTTCCTTCAACTTTATTATGAAGATTTTTAAACATTATTTTCTTGTAGTGCACATTAGCTGGATGTTTAGAAACACCATTATTTATAATTAACTAGCTGGCCCGGTCCGCGTTGCCGGCCCGTAGTTTTAGTCTTTAATGCAAATTTTGCATAGCATAATATTTCACAAATCTAGCTCATAAAGGTGAACAAATTTTAATATAAATATTGATTCGACTAAATAGAAATAAATAACTATGGAAGGAGGGCAAAATAATTTCTGAATAGTCAAAGTTATTTACGCTTTTACACCCATTACCATATCACCTCAAATTGCGCATTAGAGTCCCCAAAAAGTCTATGTTCTTGTTCATAGTAAAATTCAATGACGATTAAACAATACCCGCGTTGTTGTCCGCCAATCGGTAAACATCACTATAGATCGGCGGGCTTGGGGACTATATGGGGTCTTTACCAAAATATTTACGTATGTTGAAATTTTTCTGTAAGATGGTTCTCTACTCACAAAGTAGCCTAAATACAGCAAATAATGGCCAAATTAGTTGAAAAACGTGGCCAAGACCACGGTCACAGCTGAAATCAAGGATACATTTATATAAGGGTTATACCAAAACGTGGCCCAACCAATATTCTCTTGGGGGTTACAAATTCAATAGAAAGCAAAATTTTCTTCTCTAACCACCAATGTGATGTGAAGGTGGACTTGGGGATACTCCAATGTGGGGACTTTACTTAAATAAATTCCTATGTGGCAATTATCTGTATGATGGTTCCCTACCCCATAGTAGCATAAATACACTTTTTAGCCAAATCAATTAATGAATGTGGTCAAGACCAAAATGGGCCCTACTCTGAAAATTTCAAATTTTATGCGAAGAGAGCCTCTACCTCCTTAGAAACAAAGATGCCAAATAATGGCCAAAATATTAAAAAAGTGACAAAGACACCAAAAATAGCTTAAATCATACGATGATTATATAAATATGAAATCGGGTTGTACCCTTATCCGTGAGTTATGATCGATATCATGACCTGCAAAAGCGATTTAAGGTATCTTGAATGTTTGGGAAGGTTTTCTGGAAGGATAGAAATCCTTTTCTTACTAAGAGTCCCATTCGTTCTACTATTTTCCACCCTTTATATTTGGTATTTTTCTGATTGTACATTGGACGGATTATTGTGACAGGAAAGAAGTAGTTCCACGCTTTGAAATGAGCCCCATTAGGGTTTTTCGGTAATTTTCGTTTGTTCAAATGTGTTCGCATCTTCCAGCTGAACCACGATGTCGGCCCTGGAGTTGAAAGGTAGATGTCAGTTAACATCGTATTTCCCACTTATTTAATTTTTTGGTGAAAATTTGTATATAGTGAAAAATTATTCTTTATTTTGTTCACAAAAAATTTACTAAATTCAATTAGATAATACAAATTGAAAAAAAAAATTGACAAAAGAAGAATTACACATTGAAAAAATCTTCAACTTGTTCTCTGATTTTTTACAGCAAATGTTTAAGATCCTTATGTAGTTTGTCAATAGAATGTACTTCTATTTTAAAATTCGATTCCATTAAATTATTTCGACATTATCTATTCCGTTTCGCCACCACATAATTCGGTACTACACTTCCATGTAACTCGCCATCAATTTCATTTTTCAAGAAATCAAGTCAATTAAATAAATAAAATATTTATATTTGAATTCAAAAATAAAATATAAAAAACACTACAAATGTACATTAGAAAAAAGTAAGTCAAAATGGAAAAAAATTATGCAAAATAAAACATTACTATTGTACATTTCAAAAGTCAAAATGAAAATGTTAATATATCACATTTTTACGCGATTTTTTTGGATATTATCCTTTTCGGAGAGGAGACAACTCCTAATTTGTGTGAATTGTTAAAATCAGTCCAGCGGTTCTTAAGTTATAAGCGTAGTAACTAACACAACTTTCTTTTATATATATAGATATTGTAAATTCAGAGCATGTTATGTTATTACAATCTTTGGCTAAACACATTGAGTCTCACATTTATTATTTATTTTTTTTTTTTTGTCGCAGGTTCTTACATTTTATAATGGAGACGGGTTCCGGGAAGGAGAACATCCATTTTTCTCAATTAAGTTATGAAAAAACTTGTTTAAAACTACCTCGTCGGTTGTCACTCCACAATCGCAATGTTATTTGAAAGCGCATCGTCCTACGACGTTCGGTTCGGTGCTAGGCTATGGTTTTTCAAAATTTGTCCTGGAAAGCGCTAGCTGCCGACCTATATTTGTTGCCTTTCTTTTAATGGTACTATTAACTGGGTATGTTTGTACGTATGTTTGTTTATGACACATAGATTTAGAATTGCTTGTGTGGATTTGTAAACTTTACTTGAATGAGGGTAACTTAGATATAGCTTTTATTATTAACAAATATTTATTTGGCTAAATGTATATTAATAATAATTTTTGGCAATTACTTTCTAACTTTTGGCCTGAATGCCGCGCTCACACACACACACGCACGCAAACACACACACACTGAACGATCTCCATGCGCACTACCAGCAGAAGGGTGTGTGCATGTGTGGGTAGCAGTAGCATTGCTTCTGAACTTATATCGCACATCATTTCCATTTTGGCTAGAATCTTATGAATACATTTTAACTTGACTTAAATATACTAGAGCCTCTGTAGGGGTTCATGTCATTAATTAAATACATTTTTATCGCATTTCATACGCAAAGGCAAAAATAAAATATAATAATATATGTGTATGTACGAAGATGTTTGTGTGTATGTATATGTTTGTATACTTAAAAATAGCATGCAAAATGTCTGTGAATTCTGAAACATGAATGGAAAACTAAATAACAATGAATTCATTTAATCTCCTATCAGCTCCTGAGGTAAATGTGGCAGATGAAAGAGGGTGAAACTCGCATAACAGATTCGGTGAGCGGTGAGTTTAATGTTAATTAGATGAAACTAGATCGGAGTTTAAGTCCTTCTTCCAGTGCAATATCCAGTAGTTGTTGTTGGCTGCTGTCGGTTTCTGTCGCAATGAAATATCTACAATTGTGATTTATCCGATTTATCCTGACTTTGGGTTGGATGGATACCTACATACTACTTCTATGGTACAAATGGTCTTCAGAACCTGACAAGTGGCAATACAATCTAATAATATTTATAATAAATTTAATAGCATTTATATAATTAATAATAATGGTAAAAACTACTCGTATAATTAGATTTGTAATGGAGTGGGTCTCTTTTTTGCTTTGGATGTCTTTGTTGGAAGTTGGATGTCTTTGTAAAACCTTTAATTCCTATAAGTATGTTGTTATGTATAAAGTCACTAACTTTGTTTGCGAACAAGTCTCACATGGCTGTTTCATCGACTCTTGTTGGTTGGCTAACCCGCACAAGTGAACCCCTAAGAAGATTATGTACAGTTATGGGGTCAACTTTTGCAGATTATTTCCATTCCGTTGATAATTTTGGAGGTTGTTTGTCTAGAAGCAATTACTTCGATCTGTATTTGGGAGAGTTTTGGTGGCGTCGGATATTGAAACTGATGCAGTTTGAGGACTTTCAGAGGGTCCAGACTGACGCACTGGTGAACCGGTAACGGGATTATATTGTGGCTTTGAAGTTGATGTCGTGGATGTGACTGTAATTGATGGAATCTCGGGTATGGCCGTGCCTTTAAGTGATGATGGCGTTGCCACGCTTGTCAAGTTTGGACCACCTCTTCCCGGACAAGGTATTGTAGACGGAGAGCCTGCCATCGAACCCATGGTAGCTGTTAATGGCATCATATTTAAGTTCATTTGTGAAGGTCGAACGGCAATTGCAATGGGCAGAGAGGCTTTTCGATTCAATGAGTGTCATCCATAAAAGTACTGAGTATTGTTGTCGGCTGACATTCCTCGGCTTATATGTCGTGGAATTGTGGTATCATAATAAACACTAGAAGACGTCGGTACACCAACCATGGATGGTGGCATTGAATTACCTCCAACTAGCGGAGGCGATGGCGTTCCCATCATACCCATACTGGTAGGTATCATGCTTCTACGCAAAGTGCCGGTGTGTGAGTGGTGGTGACCTGGTACCATAATGGTTCCGCTTAGATACGATGGTCCAGACATATTTTGATTTGTTGTATTGCTCAGAATTGGTGGTGTCAGTACATGGGCACCTAAAAGAGAGAGAGAGAGAGAATAAAAAATAATGTCAATTTCTAGAGACTGTAATTGGTAGAAATTTCATTATTGTAAGTAAGAAACATTGAAACTGTTGAAATCCGATATTGCCATAATACCCCTCTTCAAGGTTTATGAACAATGGCCGATAACGTAACGGCCCCTCCTTGCTCATTTTCGATGAAAAGTGGACCAATTTTGCCTTTAAAAAAATCTGCTCCAAACAGTAATTCGTTTTTGGTTCATCGGCTTTTTAATGTATGAGTGCGTATTTACATAAGGTGCTGAAGATGCTTTTCTTCTTCCAAATAAGTACACACAACAATACACAATTGAGACATGGAGTGGTTTTGGAAATGTGTACTATAATTGTACGAAAAGTACTAAATTTAGTATTGGATGAAAGAATAAAAAAATAATAATAATAATGCAATGGAAATTTGCAAGGTCTCTTGGCTCCTGTCAGAATCCAAGATAACCCTAACCAAATCACACATGTGAATGGAAAAAATGAAATCATGGTACAATTATTAGAAGGTAACTTTATGTGCGGACGTTTTGCCAAAGTTAAAGTAATGTCACCTTTATTTCCCACAAATATAAATTGCCAATTAAATATAATAATTTGTCAAAAGTCTTTGCTTTATTTGTAGAATCTTGTAGAAATCTTAGTTTTTCGTTATTCGTGGCCGAACCTTTAAAATACCATAACCGATACCATAACAATAAATAGCGTACACAAAGTAAAGTTTTGTCTTAAAGCCTGAATGGATACTCACTATTTTATTGAACACTCATTCTGATTTAAGAATACACACGAGTTTTAGCTATGTTTTTTAAATATTAAATTTAAAGCATAAAATCTTTATTATACCCTCCATCTTGAAAAGGAGGGTATATTAATTTTCGTCGTAGTCCCCATAAAATATACATATTGATGATCAGCATAAAATTTTAAGTTGATTAAACGATGTCCGAACTTCAAACACACAACAATTTGTGTTGTGTTTCGAATGGTTGGTATTGAAATTGAAATATAACGGTATCTCCCGGTATTGGATGATTGTGGCTACAATCCAGTCCACGGATTTGTATAAAAAATTATATTTGTAATTCGTTATTGGTTCTAGTACCGGTGGAGAAACTTTCTATGTATAGGTCTACGTTTTCGTATAGCTCCCATATAAGGGTACCTCCCGATATTCGGTATTTTAATTGTTTTCGCCACATTTTTCACGGCGACAGAACATTGAATATCTAGCCACCGGTATTCGATATTTTGATAATCCTAGTAGCCACATTTCCCACGAAATTGTTTCAAATTTGAGATGTAAGCCTCGCAATAGATAACAGTCCTTCAGTATGTGCCCCACCCACTTTATAGCTTTTTCAAAAGTTTAACTTATTATCCAAACGGTATTACTGGTATCTGTAGTTTGAAGTGGGACACGTTTGAATCCAGATACTTTCATACGAAAATGATTTATTTACGCAATAATGGAAGACATTAAAAGATCGGCCCGGTAGAATTAATTGTTTTCTAAAATTTCGGTACACAATAAACCTTTGTCAGATTTTATCGGGAACGGCTAAGATTTGGATATAGCGCCGATTTATACGATTTAAGGTTTATTGTGCAAATAATGACTAATATCATCCCAAATGGAGTGAATTTCGGGACGTACATTTCCATTTTGTGGAACTCGGCTCCGATATATATTTTTTTAATATAATCTTTCTCGAAGTGATATCATGCACTCTATAGCAAACTTTAACTGCACTAAAACTAAATGTCGATTGGTGGTATGATATACTTGAAAAAAATTTTTTTTTAAGGGAGCTCTACTAAACTTGCATAGTGGGGTAGGGTATCAAATGGTCGGCCGCGCTCTACTTTCACTTTTTCTTACAGGTTTTATTTTGTTTGCCTTTCTTATATAGCATAAAAGTTTTTCAATTTGATATACCACATTGAAGTGTGTATTTTGTATTGGTATTTGTTTTGAATTCTGGATTCAAATTACGGCAACACACTGGAAGTGTGACTTGGGCTTAAATAGTGCCCTTTTATTTCAAATATTGAATTATATTTTTGACATATGTACTTGTATTTCAAAGTATGAATTGGTAGCCACTTCACCTGGAAAATTCGACTGATATTAAAATGGCCTTTCTTTTGAATAATTATTTTTTATATAATGGAAATCCAAAATACTAAAATACATTAAGACGAATATGAATACAATATATTGAAATTCCTGCTATATAGGAAATGTACCAAATAGTGCAATTTACTGAAAATTTTGTAACAAAGATTTATGTACTCGAAAACTTTCCGACTATGTTACATGAGAGCTATGGCTTATAAAACTCCAATATTAAAGATTATTTCCGAAAAGATGAAACAATACTGAAAACTTTAAAATTCGTATTAATCTTACGAATAATGTAAAACTTTATGCAAAGTATCAAAAGCATAACATAAAAGTGGCACCACGTATAATGACTCTAGCTCTATAATGGCCAGACAGAAACAGATCAATCGAAGTAAAATTTCACTGTACTGTCAAGAAAACATACCTTATACATACATACTGATTAAGTTACAAAATGAACTGATTAATTTCGGTCGGAAATTGTGGCATGATTCATACCATATGATATAATTATATGGGGCTATATTAAATGAGGGCCAATGCATTTTGTTCAATGACAATCATCCTGAAAATAACGTTTACATCTGAGAAAAGTTTTAAAGGTCGTTTTGAAATATTGCGACCTCTTTCATGATTCAATGGGCGACGGGCAGAGAGACGGATCGATGTTGATGTTTAAAAAAATTGGTGAATGCACAAAAGACGAATTAAGATTGGCTGTTCTAACCTCTTTATACCCTTTAGTCGTGTTGTGAACAAAAGTTAATACCTCGAAGCATAATTTTCTAATAATTTTTTTTAGAGATTATAGTACACCCAATTGTCTGGGAATATGATTAGATCCTTCAAATTTCGGTACACAATAAACCTTTGCCAGATTTTATCGGGAACGGCTAAGATTTGGATATAGCGCCGATTTATACGATTTAAGGTTTATTGTGCAAATAATGACTAATATCATCCCAAATGGAGTGAATTTCGGGACGTACATTTCCATTTTGTGGAACTCGGCTCCGATATATATTTTTTTAATATAATCTTTCTCGAAGTGATATCATGCACTCTATAGCAAACTTTAACTGCACTAAAACTAAATGTCGATTGGTGGTATAATATACTTGAAAAAAATTTTTTTTAAAGGGAGCTCTACTAAACTTGAATAGTGGGGTAGGGTATCAAATGGTCGGCCGCGCCCTACTTTCACTTTTTCTCACTTTTCAGGTTTTATTTTGTTTGCCTTTCTTATATAGCATAAAAGTTTTTCAATTTGATATACCACATTGAAGTGTGTATTTTGTATAGGTATTTGTTTTGAATTCTGGATTCTATTACGGCAACACACTGGAAGTGTGACTTGGGCTTAAATAGTGCCCTTTTATTTCAAATATTGAATTATATTTTTGACATATGTACTTGTATTTCAAAGTATGAATTGGTAGCCACTTCACCTGGAAAATTCGACTGATATTAAAATGGCCTTTCTTTTGAATAATTATTTTTTATATAATGGAAATCCAAAATACTAAAATACATTAAGACGAATATCAATACAATATATTGAAATTCCTGCTATATAGGAAATGTACCAAATAGTGCAATTTACTGAAAATTTTGTAACAAAGATTTATGTACTCGAAAACCTTCCGACTATGTTACATGAGAGCTATGACTTATAAAACTCCAATATTAAAGATTATTTCCGAAAAGATGAAACAATACTGAAAACTTTAAAATTCGTATTAATCTTACGAATAATGTAAAACTTTATGCAAAGCATCAAAAGCATAACATAAAAGTGGCACCACGTATAATGACTCGAGCTCTATGATGGCCATACAGAAGCAGATCAATCGAAGTAAAATTTCACTTTACTGTCAAGAAAACATACCTTATACATACATACTGATTAAGTTACAAAATGAACTGGTTAATTTCGGTCGGAAATTGTGGCATGATTCATACCCTATGATATAATTATATGGGGCTATATTAAATGAGGACCAATGCATTTTGTTCAATGACAAGCATCCTGAAAATAACGTTTACATCTGAGAAAAGTTTTAAAGGTCGTTTTGAAATATTGCGACCTCTTTCATGTTTCAATGGGCGACGGGCAGAGAGACGGATCGATGTTGATGTTTAAATAAATTGGTGGATGCACAAAAGACGAATTAAGATTGGCTGTTCTAACCTCTTTATACCCTTTAGTCGTGTTGTGAACAAAAGTTAATACCTCGAAGCATAATTTTCTAATAATTTTTTTTAGATATTATAGTACACCCAATTGTCTGGGAATATGATTAGATCCTTCAAGGCACTTAAAATATTTAGAAATAGAGAAAGGGATATTCCTTACCTAATAATGGGTAACGGCGGCTCAAAACGGGAAAGTCAGACGAAAAACAGACCGTCTCTAGATAAAAATTCCCCCAGCAGCGAAAAAAAAAAACAAAAAAGTAAAACACACGAAGAGTATGCCGGCGCACATACACGTGCTTAAACAGTAATTAATGTTCATAACAGTACATATTGATTGATTCTTCGTGGCAGTGTGGTAAGTACACACTTCCTGTGACATGTCCATGTTTAGAGATGAGATTTTCTCACGGGACTGTGTCATCGTTGCCGTACAAATGAAAAAAAAATATGTTATTTTGCTTTGTAGTTTTTTGAGAAATGCCACTTTTACTTAAACCCACTCGTAATTATTTGTTTAATTTTAACAGGTTATTTGGCTTGTCTGCCTATATTCAATGATTTTTACCAAACATTTGTGAACACAACATACAACTTTTTTATGGATTAGACTAAGAGGAGGATTTTATTGCCACAGCTACAAA